AAATGCCTGTTCAATGTGAGGCTCAACAACAACCAGTTATCGTTGATGATAATGAAATGCCTGTTCAAAGTGAGGCTCAACAACAGCCAGTTATCTTGGATGATGAAGAAATACTTGTTCAATGTGAGGCTCAACAACAACCAGTTATCTTGGATGATAACGAAATTCCTGTTCAATGTGAGGCTCAACAACATCCAGTTATCTTGGATGATAACGAAATTCCTGTTCAGTGGGAGGCTCAACAACAGCCAGTGATCTTGGATGATGAAGAAATACCTGCTCCAAGTGTAACTGACTCTGATCACAAGTCTGAACCTCTTGGCCCAAGTGTGATGAAAGAAGACCACAGCTTTAAGAATAGTTCCATGATCAAGAAAACAACGAAAAGAAAGAAGAAAAGAAGAAAAGTTGAAATTAAGTCCCAAAGTCTCATGGAGCAAGACCCAGCCATCTTGGATTATAGAGAAATGCCTGTTCCAAGCTTGGCTGAAGAGGATCCTGCCATTTTGGATTATAAAGAAATGCCTGGCCAAGGGTAAGTGAAGTTCCCCGAAAAAAAAAAAAAAAACAGAAACAATCATATAGACAACCAAAGAAGGATAAATTAATGCCAAGTTGATAAATTTCATTAACAATACCAAACATTTGGTGTCATTTTGCTTACAAGATTGATTCCACCCCCTGTTTAAGAAATGGATTCCATGTCACTGTGAGCCTGTCCAGTAATAGATCACAGACGATGTCAAAATATGGTGAGAGCCAAAAAGTGGCACTGATCTTCTTACCACATTTTGACATGATCTGTGATTTATCACTATACAGGCCCACAGCAACACAAAGTCTGTTTGCTTTATGTAATAAAAAAAAAAAGATATAGTACTGTTATTGGTGACATCATCTTTGCATCTATCATTCAAGAGATCATGAGTAAATTCTAATTAACATGTGCACATAATTCAGCTTCTCATGTGAATGGCCAAGCCTTAAGGTAGCTTTAGGGAAAAAAAAACTATCAAAGACTGCATGTGGCTACCACTGTAGCACAATTTTTATGACATTGGAAAGAACGAGAGGCTTTAAAATTACATTACAAGCTAGTGCTGCAGAATATTTGTCTTAAGTACTCTGTCAAGCACCTGCCGAGTACCCAAAATGTCAGGCTACTAATTGAGACACTGAAATGAACAATA